GCTTAATAGTAAATGGGAAAATAGAAAGTTGTTTTTTCATTAGTTAGAATAAGAGTACACCAAAATACCACTATCCAGTTGGAAGTCATTGTTTTGCAGCCATCCTGTTTCACAGTACGATTCTGTGGTCTAGGTGAGCCACCGAAATCTTTGGATTAAAAAGTATATGAATAAATATTGGAAAGATGTATTTAACTTCATAGAAATTTCTAATGTCACGATTATCTCAATTAAAAATTTTATTTGTTCTGAGGTAAATTTTAGCGGTTTTCACTTCAGTAAAAGTGATTAGTTTTAAGTGTACTGTTGTGAATACCTTTAGTATTACTCATTTTTTCTAGAAATGGATGGTCACTCCTCATATCCTCCTCTGTACAGTTATAGATACACAATTTCCAGCTTTTAGGAACTGAGGTATTGTTAGACTTGACATACTTCCAACAAGAATATGTTATATGTGTACTTGACCTGAAGATACCATAACCATGTGCTTTATTAACAGATACCAGAAAAGAGAAACACTCAGATTCTTGAAATGGCACTTTGAGGACTCTTAATTGTTTTAAGCTGTTTGATTGTTTCTTCATTTTTGATTTAACAAAAATTAAATTGAAACCCATTTTTCTCAGAGATCACAAATTTTTATTAGCATATACTAGCTGTATGGGAGGATACATTGTGATACATACATATGTGCTTACAATTTATCATAGATTTAACCCCTCCATTGTCAGATACAAGTTTTGTCCTAATTCTTCAAAAGTGAAAAGGTGTATTTATGCTTGAATTGTACCATTCTTTTATTCAAGGCAGTTGCTGTACTTTAAACAGTTGTTTAGCGGAGAAACAGAATTTACTCTTTTAAGCTTGAAGGTCGTTTTTTATCTGGCCTATGTGGATGAGTTCTCTAGAACACCATGTTTTAGAGCAGTACCAGGAAGGGAGTAGGTGGGGGCTGCAGGTTTCTCCACAGGCCTCCTGGGAGTAAGGCTGCTGTTTGTCAGCTTTTGCACCTGCATGAATGGTGAGGACTGCTATCAACAACATTCTATGCTTTGCCTCCCACTCCCTTCTCTTCTGGGGAATCTGGCTGCCTTGTCACTCAGGATAACTACCCTCACAAGCATCACTGACATCCAGAAAGTCACTGTAATCTCATCAAGCGTAATTCCCTACCTGGGATTTTGAATTTATATAATCTAAAGGTAGCTAGCTGGTCAGGGCATTTAATCCCCCATGTTGGTATACTGAGCCCCAAACAATTAGAAATGTCTTCTTGAAAAGATGACCTCATTAGTTGACAGAATTAGGGGAGCTGTGTGTCCAAATTTGTACAGACTTAATTAGGGACTTATAATTTAACCTGATCTCCTATGAAAATAGTATTGCTTCACCATGCTTAGTAGAAAAGGAATTAGTCTGAGCCTAAAACAAATTGCTAGTGAGCTTAATGAAAAGCAAGCAGGAGGTTAGCAATACACTGTTTTGTGTAACTTCCAGGACACTAAAGAGTTTTGCTGTCTTTTAAATCCAAAAATAACACTGTTAAGGAAACCTTTTACAAGTTTCTGGTGAATACTTTGATACTTTGATGATTTGTTCCAGTGGTTTTCCTAATTTTTCTCACATATCTTAGGTGATTTCCCAAATAATCATTTTTAGTCTCCATATGCCCCAAAGATCTTAATATAAGGAAAAATAATTTTTTAAATATACTTCACTGACTGCCTTCTTACTTCCCTGAAATAAAATGTTCATATGCTTATTCTGGGGCTACACACTGGCCTCACAGAATAACATCACTGCATTGCTATTTTATGAGAGATGATATTAGTACAGAAAATCTAGAGCTGGGAAAACTGGTTGCATCTATAATCCCAGCTACTCTGGAAGCCTAAGCACAATACTCTATGTGAAAAGTAACTAAATCATAAAAAGGGCTGAAGGTGTGTGGCTCAAGTTAGTAGAGTGTCTGTCTAGGAAGAAGCCAAGAATCCAAACCCCAGTACTACTAAAACAAATAAAAATCTGTGTTCTTTCTCATGTTTCCTTTGTTTCATTTTTAGTGTTACCAAGCATTGAGAAATGATTATCTTTATTCTTTACTATGACTTTTGACCCTAGGTGGTATATTATAAGCTTGCTTTTCAAAATACTGCAAATAAAATAGAGTAGCAGAAAGGGTATAGGAAGAACAGAAATTTGAAAAAGTGATCTAAAAGCATATCGAAGGCATAAGGACTTCATCTCATTTAAAAAAACTACTCCGTATATTTTTTCTGTTTACCTTCATACACATATATGTTTATCAAGACACAATATTACATAAGTATATATTTATAATCTTGTTTCCAGTTGGCATCTGAAAGTTGGCATCTCTATGTCATACATATACACATCAATGTTAATACATATGAATATATATGCACATGTTTATTTTTTCATATGTGAATCTGTAGCCATAGATCCATAATTGCATGGATATACTTGGATCTAATTTATCTTGTTAAAAATGACTACATTTATGTAAGTATGCATACTTATATAAAATTTATTCTTAGTTGGCATCAGCCAGCAAGTTAGCATCTGGTATAAACTTTTAAGTTTTCGTTTACTGCTCATGTGTGCCTGTGAAGTATGAATATTAGAATGGGTATGTTATGTTTCTTATCACTTCATATAGTTCCTTTCACAGTTATTAATTAAATGTAATCAGGATCTGTAATTTTTACCTTTAGTAGTCAAAAGTTAATGTTGGAAAGTAGTAAAGGGGTTTTCTCCCACCAAAACAATGGGAATCCATGTTTGCACAGTGAGTTGGAAAGGAGAAAACTTATCAAATCAGGATAAGGAGTAAAATATTAATTAAATCAACGTTTATTGTTTAAGGCTAACAGAACTTTTTGTACTTTGAGAAAACACTTCACAAGCTAAATTTTTTGTACATACACACATGCAAGTTTTAATTAGATAAATTATTGTACATAATTTGTTCTTAACATTCTGAAGTTTATTTTTGGTTGTGAGGACAGTTTTCTTTTAAAAAATCTTTTTAGTGCAGATAGCAGAAAGCAGATTTGCTTTCCAAAAAGGTTGTTTTATTCATTTGAATTTCTAATTGATGTATTAGTCAATTAATACACTTATTTTTGGATAAAATTATTGCAATAGAAGAATGTCAATTAAATAACTCATGTGTGAGAAACTAAAGCTAGCCCTAATTATGGGAGCCTTTGTAGTGTAATTTTTTATGCATTTTCTAAAATAAGAAATTCAAATATTATTACCATTGTCTTAAGGCAGATTAACAAGGTGTATTTTGGCAGCATAGTAATCTTCCTTCTTCCTTCCTTCTTTCCTGCTTTCCTTCCTTCCTTCCTTCCTTCCTTCCTTCTTTCCTTCCCTCCCTCCATCCCTTTCCTTCCTTCTTTCCTTCCTTCCAACAATGTTTTTGCTAAGTACTCCATACTGGCCTCTCCATCCTTCCCTCCCAGCCTCCCCAGTGCTGGGATTACAGACATGCCCTACTATACCTGCCAAAGCTATGGGTTTTTTTTTGTTGCTGTTGTTTTGGTTTTTGTGGTGCAGGGAAAGAATCCAGGGCCTTGTGCATACTAGGCAAGTTCTCTACCTCTGAGCTTCACTCCCAGACCCATGCTTATTCTTACAGCTTCACCCCCAGACCCATGCCATCTTAACAGCCATCTTACAGTTTACTGGATTGGTATAGCAAATAAACTTAACTCTTCTATTTGCCCCTGTAGGAAAATATACTCTTAGCTTACAATTTCTTATATACCTCACTGCTAGTGTGATAATCTATGTATAGCATCAGAAACATGCAATGGAACAGGAAGAGGCATCTCAAAGAAGGAAATGGTAAATTATTAGAATGTTAAGATACAGAAGACAACTCAAGCCTAACTACCATTTATCTAATAAAACTCCATAGATAAGCTTTTGTCACAAGGATTGTCTACACTTTTGCTGCTAGATTGCCACTCTTCGCAAAATCATGTATAGTATTGTTTGGTACAAAATAGTAGTTATACTCCATTGAACATCATCAGTTAGCACCAATTTGCTTCATACCTGTTAATTTGTTGAAACTATAGTTTCACTTTAAAACAGTGATGTATTTTTTCACTATAGTTTTCACTAGAATATTTACAGAAAAATATTTATAATCCAGTAATTGATAAGTAATTCAGGTGATGTTGATGTGATATTTGTTGTTACCCTGCTGTAAAATAAATCCTCCAGAATAAAGAAATTACTTAACTTAATTTCTGACATCGGCCTTACATAGGTTATATATGTATGCATATATTATGATTTTTGTACATAAAAGCAGTAGTCTAAATTTCAGTTTAAATTTTTGGTTACATTTTGTTAGTGTGGTTAGGGGCAGAGTAATTCAGTTACAGTCACTTTAACTGCATATAATACTTATTTGTTTCACATTAAAGATTACATGCATACCCAACCATGTCTTTAGAAATAGAAAAATAAGTGATGATCTATCATGAAAATATTTAATGCAGAAAGTTAATTAGAAAAAAAGCAATCCTTTCCTGATTTCATGATATGATTGTACCATTTATATGTATGTTATTGACACTAACGTGATCCACTTAAAACAATGCAGATATCCTACAGGAGAGGTACAGATTTTAAGTAAATGAGCTAGCAGTTCTTCCTAGTGGTTTACAGTTTGAACCTTTCCTTTATACTGATTGCTACCAATATTCCTGGCTATATTTTCAGTGTTTTTAAAATCAATGTTTTCATCATTATATTTACTCAATTAGCATAAAATTTAATATTTTAATTTTTGTGATCTAAGATTGAGCATGTCTTTTTTATTAGATGTTGAAGTATATAAGTCATTATGTTGTATATTGCTGATTAAAATATTGCTGAAGTATAAAGGAGAAAAATCTAATTTTATATTGGCATAGAAAGAAAGCTTAACTTGTTTTCTTGCTCTTTTTTTATAGAGAACACCTGTTCCCAGCGCTGAAGCATTCCGATGGTTCTTTTAAAGCAGTAGTTTCTCTTATTTTCAAGGCATTTGGAAATGAAGGGCAAACTAATGTCTTGTTTTAAGAAACTGCTTAGTCCACCATTGAAGAAAATATCCAGAAATTATTTTCATTTTCTGTATAGGGGTTTCTTCAAAAAAAAAAAAAAGAGGAAAAGAAAAGAAAAAAGACATATAAAAATAATGTGGGAGCTTGGGGAATTGGCCAGTCTATTTACTTTCGATACACTGATTCTTACTTTGATGTAACTTAGCTATACTAGTGGCGTTGTTGTCTACTTTGAAAGTGGCTGTAAAAAATAAGTTTGGGTAAATCCCTGCTGTAAAATCATGTATCTTTGCAAAGTACATATCTATTCTTCATTTTCAAATATATGTGTTTCAGTACTGTAAACTGTACAGATAGCAGCTTGTATTTTGTGTGTTTAGACACAAGGAGACAATCACGTCTGAGCATCTATGGAGATTAACAGCTTGTACACAACAGTATGGTTCTGCAAGTTAAATCTGGAGCAATAAACTTTAGCTTTAAATATTTTTTGCCAGTTGTTTCTAGAAGCAGCAACAGCACTGGCACTGTTTTGCTGTGCATCTTTCCGTAGAGACTTGATTCCAAGTATTACAAGACTAAAAGATAATGATGCACCCAGCGATTACCTTCAGTTGTATTGTAAGAGGGGAAGATGTTATGAAAGTTTCAATTCATCTTTTGAGCACTGTATTAGAGTAGTGGTTATGCACTTGCATTGCTTACAAACGAGCTGTACAGAAGGGTATACCTCCCAAATACTTAGTGTAGTTGATTTGTCTTGGGTTACACTGTACGATGGAGTACTCAGAGTAGTTGGAAAATGCAGAATCAGTTGTATAATTTTTTTTAATTAAAAAACCCCATTGTTTTCTAGGCTAAAGAATCATATCTTAGTGGAAGAAATCCATGACTGACTTTTTTTCCCAGACAAACTTGGGCTGTATAAGTTTTTGTTTCTCTGTTTGTTTCCTTTTTTGGGGGGTAGGAAAAATAAAACTTAATAAACAGTATCCAAATGTTTTAATTCCATGTATGCTATTAAGTGGGCAGTTTTGTTTTAACACTTGAATACATTGAGGCCTGCCTTGAGGCATGGCTGAGAGTTAAAAAGAATTAAATGTATTCATAAAAGTGAGGCATTTTTCCTGTCTTTATCTTCCTTCTTGTAGCCTTCCATTGGACTGGTGGTCTTCCCCTAGTCTCTCACTGGAATGTTTCATCACTGTCATTCCCTTTCTTGTCACTACATGCTTTTGTTCATGGGAGGACAGGGCCACAGTCTATCTCATAAATGCAAGGAAGCTCACCCCCACACACATAAAGGCTCTAGGAAATGCTACCTTTGCGTGTAGTATGTAGTTTTCTTACAACAGGATTCTTCAGGTTGTTCCATTAGGACAACAAAATATTTGAATTTTGTTTTATTTTATGACTAGACTATAAATATTATTTTCAGTTTCAAGAATAAAACATAGTTTAGCAAAAATATGTGGACTATCAAAGTTGCCATGGTTACTGCAACTTTTTTATTCCTTATTCCCTAGCCAGTTGTGTTAGCCAGTACATTCATAAGCCTATGAAACAGGTTAGAAAAGTGGGTCAGGAGAAGAGTAAGAGTGATGGAGCAGTGAAAAGTTTAAAGTGTAAAGTTTAAAAAGACTAGCAGGTGAATATTTTAAAACTCTAGTCGTAGTTTTGAGTGGGAATTGATATGTCAGAAGAGGTTTTTAAGGGAGGAGGATCACTTCATCATGAGAGTACTTGGGGAAGGGTGGATAGAGTGCATACGAACACCAGTGTGGAAAATAAGTGTCACTTAACTTGCCAAAGTACAATGACTGGTCTGCATTTATGGTCAAAGGTCTTTTTGGGGAAAATTCATTATGTGTTACACCCATCTATGTTTAGAAAAGTAAATAATCATACCCTGAAATGTGCTATATGTTAATTTTGAGATAGCTTTCTACTTGATGTATTGAGGGTTTCTAGTTAGAATTGATATTTCTGCTGTAGGACCAATGAGATTATAAGTTCTTTCTAGTTCCACTTTTATTTGATTTAATTTTACTTCATTTTTGTTTGCCAGTTTGCTAATTAACTACATGTAAGAGAAAACTTATTTTCACACTTGAATGGGAAGTTTGCCTTGTTTGGGAAAATGTTTAGTATATAAGTGAAACAAACTTCTATTCAGACTGTATTAGGCATACAATAACATAAAGATCTTGTAGCAATGTACTGACAGTCTAAAATGCATTATAGTGTCGCATGTCTTGTGTTTTTGTTTGTTTTTTTAACTAGCAAATCTGTATATTGTAAAATGTGGTGTTTTACATGCAAGTTCATTCTTTTCAATGAAAGAAAATCTGTTAATTACTGAAATGGAACAGTGTAGTTTTTCTTTAATTCTTTTATATTTTTATTACTGATACTGTTCTTTTCTACCACCTACTTTTTATATTTTTCGTTACACTCTATTTATGTAATGTAGGGTGCATATAAAGTTCTCATTGGTGATGTTGAAGAAAATATTACTTTCTGGACTCCTAGTTTTCTTCCCCATGTGTCCATGTACTGAGAACTTATAAAGCATATCAAGATAACTTTAGGACCATAATTTGAAGGTTTACATTTTTAACTATTTTAAAATAGCAATGAATTACAACTTTTAAAAGCTCCTTACTCTCTGTTTCATACTCTGTATGAAGAAAATTCAGAACTTAGTAATCAGAATATAGATTGTACTCTTTATACAACTTAAAAAATATTTATCATACAAGCTCAAAAAACTGTTAGAGAGGTCCACATAGGCTGGGGCCTGTCTCCTCAAGATGTCATACCATGGCAACATTTGGGGATAGCTTGGAAAGTACTTGGCCTATTGGTACACAGTATAGTGAGCAAATATATATCTCACCTGTCAGCACCCTAACATCAAAGAATATCATAATGCAAACCTCTCTTTTCCCAAGACCTTCATACCAAAGTGGCTTTCTTATGGACTGTGCTTTTTTGTGTACAAACAGAGGCATGTTCACAAAGTAGTAAGCAGTCCATCCTTGGGAAAGAAAATAGTAACTGCCTTCCCACAGTGAATGTCTCCTTGTTGCTCAATCCCCAACACTCAACTTCCTTCTTCTAAACATATATACAGGGGCAAGAAATGATGGGTCTATTATAGCTTAATATTAAGTAATAAGAAAAAGGAATATTCCCTTTCAGTCAACATCCCTGGCATGCAAATTGTGCAATTAATACTAAAGCATATGAAGTCTTTAAGCTGATAGTATCAGCAATCAAATAATGACAAAAGGAAAGCAGTTAAATGAACACACACCATTCAGGGTCAAATATGTTCAGCTGAAAGCTGTAGTGGGTCTTTGATCATGGTTAGATTCACAGTGATACCAAACAGTTGGTTCTCATGTAACAGCTAAATGTTTCAGATTTTATTTTTATTAAATTTGGCATTTCACACTGAGATCTGTATTCCTAGTGAATAAAATACAGCTACTGTGTTAGGAGGGATTCCATTTTCACAATTGCAGAATACTCAGAGATATTTCAGGAACCTGGGCCACAAAATGTACTCCTTTCACAGTGTTCTCCTATTCCGAACTGTGCAGTTATCTATTAAATTTTCTAATAGATATTTGTGTAAGGTGTATGTATGCTTGTGCAATTATTTAAAAGCAGTTTTGGAAAACAGTGTATTTATTAAAAAATCACTTATGGGGCATGTACAAAACTGTAAAAAAAAAACTTAAAAAAATCACTTCAATTTGCCCAGTAAAGTTGTTTTTTGTGAAATTTCTGTGTTGTTGAATAAAGGACTTTAGTATTCAAAATATCTCTATTTTTCCATGAACAAATTTTTACTTATGGGATCTTAAGTGATGAATATATTATCATGAAAATTGAATTTTGTTTATGATAAAAAGCTTTTAATTCTACACTTGCCTTTACTCGATGGAATTTATGCTGTGTTCAGATCTTTCATAAGATATGCCAATGATTTCATTTCTTCCTTATATATTTTCCTTCCTTATATAAAGAAAGGAAAAAAGAAGAAAATGATCCTTTTACATATCTAATGGATGTACTTTTCTTGAAAACATAAGAGACATCGCAAATTAAGAAAGAACTGAGTGCACTGCAACTTTTCTCCTCCTTTCTACATCGTAAGCATGCCGTGAGAAAATACCCCAGGCCTCCCTTATTTCATGAGTGACAAGTCCTGGTGATGAGGACATTAATGTGCATGAAGAAATGTGCCACATGGGAATTATGTGTTTAATCACTCTCAGCAATACTCTGAGATGAAAGGTATATTGTGTTACTTTTTACTATAGAGTATTGTGGTCCATCCATACTATAAGTTGGTGGTGAAGTTACTTAACCCTTATTTCACTACTTGTAAGTACAGAAGTCCAATTTTTTGATGCCTTAGAAACAACAACCAAAAGTGAAGAACATGGATTTAAAACTTGGAAACCCTTAATATGGTTACAAACATGGAACTACCTACACCAAAAGAATTCATTTCTGTAGTATATTCCAAATTAGTAAAATTTTTAAAATATACTCAATATTAACATGTGTTCTGTTAGTATAATATTACAAATATCAAATTGCAATATTGTACTAATACAAGCCAGGGCACCAGAGTTGGATTGTGTAGAATGAGAAAGAGGAATACAGTAATTTGAATTACGGGACTCCAAAATACTCAGCAATTACTCAGGTAAGTTACTATGTTTCTTTACTATATTTTAGTATAAACAATAATAATATGCTGGAGTTATTCAATTGGAATTTGGTAAATAGTAATTTCTTACTTGAAATTGGTAAGGATATAAATACCTGGAGATAAATAATGTAATGATAAGGGGATAATTCTTTCACAGAGATTGAATAACCCAAAAATTTGCAGGGAAGAAGGAGACTATTTATAACTCAGACAGTAAGTTAGATAATTTTTTATGGTTTCTGAACAGATGGCTTACGTTTGTTTCAAGTGTGTTTATTGGTAAAATTTTTTGTTTCTGTGTTTTATGCTAAAACTTCTTTCCAGTTTCCCTACCGCTCATTTTATTTTATGACTTTTTATGAAGAAAA